CACCAATAATGATGATTTTGAATTAAAATACATATTTTATTTTTGGCCAATTAGCGCATCTGCTGCCATAAAAAGTGGTAATTTAAGAAAAAAATAAGTTTTTCCTTAATTTTTATAATACGCTCGCCACTGCGTTGAAATCTTCAAAATAAAGATATGTATATGTCTTTCTAATTATATAAATTTAAAGAATGTAACCATCCCATTACTACACTGTTAACAGTCACCAATAAAATTGTATTTTTATTTCCTCCTCCGTCTGGATGTTTTTGGCAAAAATATTTGCTAAATTAGAAAATAAAATTATATTTTTATTTTCTAACCTCCTTTGATGATCTTTAAAAAAATAAGTTTACAAAACAAGGTATAAATAAAGTTTCGCTTTATAATAATTTGTTGTACAAACTTATACCAAACTCAAACCTGCCTATTGGTTATGATTGGAATTTTGTCCTTAACTCATCACTAAAAGTGTGTGACTCGTGAGCTACTTGCCTAAATATACACTGCTGGTATTGCATTATTATTATCTTATTAGAATACAAGACAACATTTTTGGTACTATATTTTATTTCATAAAAAATAAAAAGATGCGGTTTTATATCTAGTTATTAAAGGTGTATTGTCCCAGGCTAAATACCAAAAAAATCATAAAAATATTTTTTGAAATTAACTTGCCCATTTTTGAAGTAACATAGTTGTCAACTTGAACATAGAAATTAGTGTATTTAAAAAATTTCTACCCATCAGTTTACACTTCCAGTGACTGAAAATTATTGGAAAATATGTTCTCCTGCAGAATTCAATCAATTTTAATTTAGTTATATATGTTTTTAAATAAGTTAAAGAAATATGCAATGGATTAATTTTTCCTTCACTGCAGTGTCATACTTTCTCATATGATCTACCTTGAAAAATAGAATAAGATATCGGTAGGTGAGATGCAGAGATTATAGCCTGTCCAGGTCTGATTGGATACTAAAGGAGCACCGCAAACAAGCAATTACAGTCAAATTTGATAAACGGTCGTTCCCACGATTTTGAATTTGCAGGAAATTGCCTAAGACCAAGAAAACATTGTTGACTGAAGCCAACTGTTTATGAGTACCGGCTGGGTCCTGTTCCAACTAATGGGGATTGCACCATATCTTCCTTTTATTTTCCTCATAAGATTCTTTTTTCTGAACTTCTCTTTCTTTCTATTTCTCTTCTTTCTCTTTTTCCATTGAATTCTATTTCTATTTTCATTTCATCAGCTCTGTTTACTGTCCCCTTACCCTTTTAATTCCCTTTTTCTCATTGCTTAAATTTCAGGAAAAATAAGAATTATTCTAACCTAGTATTTTACACTTTTTAAAATCATTATCAGATGTTTGTATGCATTTTTTGAGCAAGAAAATTATGCTTACGCAGTTAAAAATCACCTCGTATTACCTTATTTTGACAGCTAACATCCCTCACTTGCATCCCTTTTCATTGATATGAGCCCCAAATTAAAGATGCTGGATAAAATTATTAAAGATACCTCACATCTACTTTACAGATGTTTTGTGGCAAATAACTCCGCCCAGTTATGTGTAAAACAATCGGTATATTCCTTTGTTAGCAATGCTATACACATTTAACTTTCATAGATAATGCAATACAGTACTGGTCACGTACTGTATGTGTAAATAATTAACAGGTGCTTTAGAACTTTTTTTTAATATTTATTTTCATGTATCGATGTGTAATTAATCATAAATGTAGTTTATGTATTTACTATTTTAGTAGCTAGCAAGTTTGTTGTTTTTTGTTTGTCAAGCATCAAGATTGTAATTTTATAGTTCACTTGTTTGGAAAAATGACAATAAAACTTACCTTATCTTATCTTAAAGATATCAAAAAACGAAAGGTCCACTGATTAATCTCAGATGAGATAGTATAATACATACTCCAAGTATCGAAATGCACGCCATCGTGTCAAGATAGATACTTGGAGTATGTATTGTCATGGAGGTATGGTATTATACTCCACAAATCAGTCCCTCCCCATCCCATGTCACTACTTACAGGTATTGCTTTGTTCCAGCTGTCCCTGACCTGTATTTTACTGTCATCCATTTTGTAGAATGGTTTATTGATTAATGGGCTAATAAATAAATGAAAAGAAATGAGGTGTTACCAAAAAGAATTCACTTCAAGTGGATTGTATAATCATATACATTTATGGATATGTTTCTATTGCAACATCACATATTGATAATTTGGACGTAGAAAGTACTGAAAGTTACTGGCAAGAATTGACACATGTTATCCACCACCAGTGCCAAACCAATTCCCTTTTATTTCCGTTTGCCCTCATTGTGCCCTCATCGTAGCTCACCATATGTTGCATGGTTCCTGTTCTATGAAAAATAATAATACAAGATGGGACGTGATTGCCAATAAGATTACTCACAGATTGGCACCAAGTGTTTCTGCTTTACAAAACCATCTTCGTTTATTTCCCCAGAAATTGAATCCCTCGGTGACAATAGAAACGTTCTCCATAGTACTTCATTGTGAATTTCCTGTGGGCAGTGAAGAATCCCTTATGAGTGTTCGTTCCTCTGAGGTGGTTATTTTTCAAATCTACTTGTGTGGGTCTGTTATGTTCCTGTGCTTTCTTTACTACCAATTATTTTTTTCTGAACTACGGTGACACAAAAAACCCAATGATTTATTTTTCTCAAAATATTTTTGACCACATCTTGCTTGTGGATATTTGAGTTGTCAGTGCAGAAGAAATTCATGACTGGCATGCTTAAACCCAACTTGCTTTGATTGAGTACTGTTTTTTTAAATAATGATACTATAGATGCTGTTTGGCAAAAGCTGTTGATATAGATTTATTTCAAACTTGAGATAGTAGGATGAGAAGAAAGAGAAAATGAAAAGAGAGGAAACTGATAAGTGAGTGAGTGAGTGAGGGAACAGAGATGATTATGTCACATCAATGGGAAGAATTATTTTACATGATGCATATACACAATAAGCTTTGTGGGTTTGTAATTATGTTGTGGGATGTTAAGAATTCTAATATTTAATTAATACTTGTTTTCTTAACAATAATGAACTAAACACATTTTGGAATGCAGTGAGAAGAACCACATCATGAGAACACAAGTCAGTATCTCGCATATATCGTATGTACATACAATCAGGAGGGTATTATTATGGATATACAACCGTTAAAGCAAAGTCTGTAACCGTCATTAGCTAATTGAGGAAGTAAATCTTTTATCAGATGGTTTAAAGTTCTCTTGTCGTCGCTATTTCATTTCTTAATAGGTATGCATTACTAAGTCTGAGATTCTGTTGACTTTTACTTAGCACAACTTGCGGCAATGTGTGTGATGTTAAAGCAAGCTTGGATTTTAATACTCCGAAATAACCTTTTGAAATACGACCCACCTGTGATGTGCATCTGTGATTTAGTAATGAATATTCATTAGCATTGCAAGAAGCTTGGCATATTTGATGCTAGCAACTTTCTTTATTCTTATTCATAAAAAGATATTTTCAAGGTCGCTTTTTTTTATTATATATGGTATAAGCAGTCATAATCAGTTGGAGTATGTATCATGAATAATATAAGCTGATGAAGAAACGACAATAAAATTATATTAATGATGTTAAGAAGTATGTATAGGTATGGTAGGACAGCAGTGATATAATGGATTATGTTGATGAAAGATCATGATGATAGACTATTAGGTTGTGTTTACGAACTTTCAACGAAACCGGATAAGTAAAAAATGACAATGCCCAGAGGGTAGGTCATTAGATCGCTCGTTTACGAACCCCAATTTTTTTGCGCAGGTTCTTGCATTTGGTATTCTATCTGTGCGTCTTCCCGCATCTTCTGTGCGATTTCTTTATAAACAGCGTTGTTCCGTCGGGTTCCATCAAAACCATCTTGTATGGATGTCGTTCCCCATATGCTAATTAACGTTTGGGTTGCTTCGTCAGTCAACTCACTCTGTTCAGCTGCAGCCATAGGGGTATCGTTGTAAAAATAACTTAAAATATTTAGGCTTAAAAATTGGATAATATAATTTATTAAGTGAGGACTACTCTAGCGATGTCACTAGACGAAGGCATGGATGAAAAGAAATTGCGGACTCAAGTGCTTAATCTGAATAGATTCTCATAAAAGTAAGGTCAGTTGACACCATGCTGTGGGCTATTGCGCCCGAGGCAGCCTCCAACCCTCCAAACTTATCCGGAAAGGATAAGCCCGGAAAGTCCAGATGTTTTAGTAATTATAGCTAGTTGAGGAATGATTAATTATCACCTCAGGCTTGAGTTATCCGGTTTTCAAAAGTTCGTAAACGGGCCCTTAGTGTGATTATCATGGTGACTGGTAGTGGTAGCAGTGACGAATATTGTTGAGTGATGGTGGTGAGGATGAGGGATGGCATTTGTTAATTGGTGCTGATGTTTGAAAATGATGCTAGTTGAAGATAATGATGATGGTGATGGTGATTCACGATAGTGATGCTGGCTGAAGAGAATGATGATGTTGGTGATTCATGGTAATGATGCTGGTTGATGATGATGAGGATGATATGAAATGATTTTGATTTGTGATGATGATGATGATGATGATGATGATGAGCCATGATGCTTATGGGTAATGCTGATTGATATTGATGGTGGCAATGGTGATGCTGATTAATGATGCTGATTAATGTTGAATAATGGTGATTGATGTTGATTGATGAGGATGATGCCAATTATAATGATAATGCTGATTGATGAAGATGATGATTATGATTGTCGACTATAAAGAATGTGTTGATGACATGCCATATGGCACCGATGATGTTTAAAGTAGTGGTGGTGAGATCAGTATTAAACTGAACATTAATACGGAGAGATTAATGTAACATGCAAAATTGGTTCAATGCTTATATTTTCTTGTTTTAAATTATATTTCATATTAATTAACTGATTTTTCTGTTCTGCTTTTTCAGAAAATTCTCTTCCATCAGGATTCCCGAAGATTACAGTTAGTCCAGAACTTAGAGTGATCGAGCTTGGCCGTCAAGCTACCATGGATTGCTCCGCCAGTGGAAATCCAAATCCAACAATATATTGGCTGAAAGATGACAAACCTTTAGATCTGTCCGACAGTCGTATTAGAGTCACAAATGGTAAGTTTTAATTTGCATTGTTTTTTTTAAAAACTATTATACTGTGCTTCTTTTATCTATTGTATGAGTTCTTGGCCCTTGTACAGGTATACTATAGCAGAAAATTATTTTAGAAATTTAGTAATGACGTTTTTTTTTGCTTTTTGTAAACTTCAGACACTAGTCTAGCATACAATGGTAAAATTATTATGATTTTATCAAAATGAAATTTGTATTGGTTTGCTTGTAGCTTAGTGCAAATTTGCTGCTAAATCTTAATAGTCATTGGTACAGTATTAAGTTGAAGGAAAAGATAACCGCACACAAAAAATAGTCAATCCTGCCTCTCCCATTTATGTACAATTTACCAGGATGCTTTAAAAAAGGGGCTTATAGAGTGTTTTAGTATTGACTTCCATTTAAAATTTACCAATCCTGTTGGTGTGGCTAGCTTGGTATAGTTTTCTTAAATGTTGAATTCATTGAAATATACCATATTAATGATATTGGTATTTAAAAAAAAAAAAACAAACAATTGTGCATAACAACAATTTTTAAAGGTGTTGGTTATTTCTTTTCTATATCCAACAAATAAATGCCTTATTGTTCTTTACATTTTTTCATCACGAAAAAGCTTTTTGTTAAAATTTGCATTTTTTCCCCGAGTAACAATCTCATTTTGCCAACATTATGTAAATTCACAAAGAAATTTAATCATTTTTTCCTTGGGGTAATATTGTATTTCATGAAAAATTTTACTCCCAGCTAAATGAGATGCTAGTCTCTTGTCAACAATCTTCAAGGAGCTACATGTCCTTGTATGAATTGAGTAGCTATGATCAATACATGTCTTTACGTTGTAGGCTCTTAACAATTAATTGCTCGCGGTGATTGTTAATTTGTCTAAACTGTATGTGAAATTCGTTTGCAGCCACTGTGCTTATACCTTGAGCTTTTTTTATGTCTTGTATCGATCTAATAAGGTTACAGTATCCTCGTAAAATAATAATCAATAATAAATAAAAATCATATCCACACTCTCAAAGAATAATGTAAATTTAAAGAAAGAATATATTTATAATGATTTATTATTAAAAAAGGAAATACCCCAAAATGTTCAATATGAAATTGATAAGAATTGATTTAATTTCATCAGTCCATGTCATCTCACCTTTTGCACTGTATTTTCCCATCCTGGTTATTTTACTTGAGAGCAGGATCGTTTCGCTCGATTAACTAGAAAAAACCTGGTTATCAAAAGAAATTATACCAATTACGAAATTGTCATACTTGTATGCATTTCATAAATTGTCAATTTACGTGGTCAAGTTGGTTTCGTTTCACAGCTTGCGGCTATCCTTTACCAAAATTGTATTATTTGTCTCAATGCTTTCGTATAATTTAAAAATACAAAATCCCCAGCATTCAGTAAATATTCCTTTTCAAAACAAGCAATTAAATATATAAAAATACAGTACAGATGAAGTGTTAAAATAAAAATGTAATTGAATAAAGTCAATTCTTAAGATAGTCACTTGAATTTAATTGTAGTAACATGAATTTTTATTAAATGAATAATATTGATAATTATTTTATTTGTAGTTTAATTGTTAATTTATCTTTCATACTTTTAATTTCTAGTACTGTATATATTTCTATTTCTAATATTTTTTTTGTATAATTTAATATTGTTTAGTAGCTTTGTAATAAAATGAAGCCATAATGAATAGACTTATTAATTAATTGGCATGTTATCTTTATTTAATGTCAACTAACACCTTTTCCACATTTTCCCTTCATCTCTGATTTGTTTGTGTGTTGTTTATTACAGAAACAGGGTTTACAGGTAAAATGTCCCTCTTGTGTTTACAAGCAACCCTTAAATGTTTTTTAAAAAAGGATGCATATTTTGGAAGCATTTGTTGTTAATTGGTGCATTTTGCCAAAACAAAGCAAAACAAAACAAAAATCACACAATTTGTATTTTTTGAGGTGTATTTTCTTAATGGACTGTTCATTTTTGTGTGGATTTATTTCTGTCTTTATCCCTAATCCAAGTTTTGAACATTTCCTAAATTGGAAGGATTCAAGAATTGGTAAATTGGATATCATTACAAGATAAGAATTTTGAAGGTTTCCTAGAATTGGGAACAATGAAGAATAAAAAAATCACTTGAAGTGAGAAGGAAAAACACAACTGAAGTCTATGCATATTAGTGCATCTTACTAACACACTTTCCACAATTTATTGATAGGTATTTTTGGAATTAGAAAGAGAAATAATTGTTATGTATTGATATTTGAAGATAAATCCACATTGATGTATCTAGTCCTTAAAGGTGATGTCACCTTTGCATGGATGCTCGTTGACATTAGTCGCCTCCTGTATCTGCTTCCTCTTTTAAACTGGGTTGAGTTCAGGTTTAAGAAATATGTTAATTTTTAGCTATTCCCAACATATATAGACTTACCGAACAAGAAATGAATCGTTCCACAGATCAATCAGTCTGAATCGGGAAAACAAGCCAACAGAATTTTCTAATTTTTGGAAAATCCTTGAAGTAAATTTCTTAATTTTCTTCAAGATAGCATTTCAAAATTCATTGAAGACGATTTGTTCGATCAAATATGTGCCACAAATGAGTTGTTTTTTCGAATAATGTTTGGTTGATTGTGAAATGATGATCATCTTCTCTTGAACAAAGATCTACCAATTCTGGAAAACTCCTGGGAAGTTATTTCAATCCTAAGTTAAACATCTTGTTGTTTACAGAAATCATAAATCCTAAAACTTGAGATTCTGTAGTATACTTTGGTTCATACAGAAGATACTTAATGCATGTAATCTTGCTTGTTCGAATTGAAAATGCTTGTTTGCTGAGACTTCAATTAGTTTTAAGGATTTTGTCTCATATTCTTATAATGAACTATCCTATCATTAGTGATGTTATGAAAATAAAATAAGCATTTTTTTTTATATGTTTAGGAGGCAGTACAGTTTTGTAATAATTGAATTTTCAAATTTTTGTAACTTTAATCGAGATGCAACAAGTTCAAACCAGATAGAGCTTGTACTGCTTGTTGTAAAAACTGGTTATTTTTTAAGGCCAGGCTCCAGAGGAAAAACTCTTTTTGATATAATGTACTAATGAATTTTCTAAGACACTGAAGAAATAATTGGAAGATACAGATTTTTTTAATCTGGAGTCTGGCTTTAAAATCGAAAATTTATAAACTGTTATCTTTGAATTCTGTCTTCTCAAGTATAAAATTAAAAACAGGAGTAAAACATTCCAATTTTTATCACTTGAAAAAGTAATATTTTGTTAAACCGAAAGATTATTATAAAGCATTTGTGGTGCACTTTCAATTCAGCAAGATTATACTGCCTGACTAAGCGTAGTCGATGAATTTCTTATCCCAGACAAGAACGGCGAATGTTGAATGGTCAAACAGAAAAAAAAAATTGAATTATTCTGATGCTAGTTCTGTATATGATGATTGATTGTACAATGTTATGAAATGTGCTGTCCATGTAAATGGTGTCCATATGTTTTTCTTGTAGAACATGTATATGTTGCCTTTACTCTGTCCATTTATGTTTTTCCTTCTAATTTGTTTTCTAATCTATCTTTTCCTTACCTCCACTAAGTTTTACAATGGTGGAGATTTTTTTCTCATTCAGTCAGTCCTTATAGTTTCTTTTTAATCTATTTTTTTACCCACTTGCTATTACATTGTAAGCAGCCAGTTTGACTGCAAACGTCAGTAACAACATAAGCGTCACAATAGGTGTGTGGTAAGACAAAGTAGGCCTGAAGTAGTAATCAAGAGGAATAAAATGCACTTACATTTCATTGTTTTAAACCGCACCAGTTTTTTTTTTTTTTTTCTGCTGATGACAATTCTGAAACATAACTGAATGTTCTATTAACCCCATAGCTATTGATTTATATGCATTTGTAAAAGGTGTGTGTGGTTCCTTTTGGGGAGACTTTCATACTTTAATATCGTATATAATCCTTAGTGATAACGTTTAATATATTTATATACTATATATGTATATATATACTGTATATCTTTTATATAGTTTGCACTTCTGGCTTTTGTGAAACTTTAACTGCACCTTGTTCTAAGGAAATGTAGTACTTGTTTTATTATTTTTAATCTTAGCCATACACAGTTACACAATTTTTTTGGAATGAGGATTCTTACAGTTTTTACTCATTTATTTTGGACAATCAGAAACAGTATTGGTGACATTTTAAACTAATCATTGATATTTCTTAGTACATTAGCCTGGTTTCAAGATATCAGATATAGAATCTATGTAACTCGCAAGACTAGAAGGAAAATGTATTTTTTTAAAATAATTTTATTTTTTATTTCTCAATTGATGCCTGTTTCATACTAGATTATGTTTTTTTTTTTACTAATGTATGCCAATTAACTTAAGGAAAAGTAGAATCTATTTTATAGCAAAAATATTTAAATTGTAAAATGTACTTATATGATTCAATTTAGTTCAGATATGATTATCTATTAGAAATGTATTGATATAGATATGTGATATGATTGAAAAAAAATGATTTGGTACACAGCAGAGACTTGGATATCTTGGATATTAATAGTTCTATGATGGATTGAGAAATCCGTCGGGATACTCAACACAAATAATTAATTATGAATGCGGTCTTTTAATAATGTGCTGTGTAGTCGTAGATGTATACGTAGATTAGTGTGCTGTGTGGGCATGAATGAATACGAATGGTACATGTCCGGATTATAATTGATATTTAGAGTTTATACGTAATTTAAACATATTGCTCTGTACACGTGTTAGCAGGCGTGGACGTGTGTATATGTGCACGCTAGATTATACACATGGGCAAATATTATTTACGATGTAGGATTTGAATCTTTCATGAAATTAATTGTACGGTTGGGAGTTCGTTAATATTTTAGCCACTTTTGACGTTCGTGATTTTTATAGTTTAGATAAATTCTGTTGATTATTTTCATGTTATTTGGATTAGAATAAACTACTACAGATTTTAGTCCAGAATGTAATACTAATTATCAGATTATTATTAATCAGTATTTTTGCAGTTTTCATATCTCTCTTATCCTTTTGTATTATTTTTATTATACTATACCCTAATTTAATCTATTTTTATCCTCTGATAAATGTGCATGTATGCTGTCTATTCACAACTCATGTTCCAATATCAATGCATAACTATTGTACCTTGGAATGTATGTTTGATCCTTGTATCCTTCCATTTGCATTTTTAGTGTTTTCGTAATATTAGTTTTTTGTTTTATGTCTGCTTTCTTCAACATTATTTAGTCAGTTTGTGTGTTTTTTGTATGTTATTTGTGGATGCAAATATTTATAAGAAAAATGTTATTGCCCGACAATAGTTTTATTATTATTTTTTGTTTTATTCTTTTATTTTGTTATATTAACAGTGTAAAATGTTATAAAATCAACTTTTGTTGGTGCAATTATCTATCTTTTTCATTGAAACAAAGATTAGATAATCTCAATAGAATTTATGTTTCATGATTAAATAATATTTATTTAATACTATATATAACATTTTATTATTATTATTATTATTATTATTATTATTATTATTATTATTACTAACATTCTTAATTGTTTTATTTTATATATTGGATAAAGAAAATCGCATTATTAAATATTGTTATATGAATATGGCCTTAAATGCTTACCATGTATTAAGAAGATGCAAATTTAAATTGGATAGAACGTTATTTTAAAAAGCCTGTCTCAGTTGTGAGTATCACTATTCCACGTTTGTCGAGGTCATCACAAATCTATTGTGCATATTCGTCGTTCATTTTTTTCAAACAAAATCTAAGGAAAGCACAGCAGAAGCTGAAACTAGAAATAAATTACTTTTATATAGTTTAGATTTTATCAGTCATAATTCAGAATTGCATGGTTTTAATATTTATTTTGGCAATTTAATAGGTTGGAGTTACATGTAGCATTTTGATATATTCCAATAAAATTATTTATTAAAAATGCATACAGTATTACCAGTAATACTAGTTGTATTAATTTTATAATTGGATATTTATTTGTTATATTCATTACCTAAACACTAACATTTTTGCAATTTGCAATCCTAGCCTACTGTATATATTTTGTATTATTAGTTTATATAAATCCCTATGTAATTATGATTATTATTAAGATATTCTAACATTATATCATATTTATATAAATATATAGTAAAATATATAATATAATATTACGTATTGAGGTAATGCCTCAGAGTGTTGATTAAAATATTTTGTCCATTATAGCCATTTTTTGTTTTCATTTATTATATTAATCAATTTTGCAATAAGTAAATATTATATTGTTAGTTCAAGACTATTTATCCATGGCCTGTTTGTATGCACTTAAAAAGCATCAAATGAGAAATGCACGTATGCACATAAACATATTCCTTGGCCACGCACACATCAGCTTTAAAAACGAAACTAATACTGATGTTCTTCAACAATGATTGAATGAGAAATGAATACAGATCCTCTCATTGACCCGTCGTCTTTGTGTCTAACTTAATCGCATAAATTATGAGCCAGATTGATAGAAAATTGTATCACGTCAAAATGATTATACAGTGAAAAGCATGCAATGTTTATTTAAGATGTCTGATTATCATTAATATTCATTTGGCATGCATAGTATAATCTAATTATGCTTGAAAATTAAATTTAATAGATGTTTGTTTAATGCATTAAAGTAACCTGGAGATTTGTATTTTTGAACCATTGCATTATATCAATTAACTACTATCTGTTTTATTTAAAGACACTAGGATTTCAGAATTTGTTACAGCTACAGTATTTGATATTCTTTTTGAATAACAACACTTTTTACATATTCTGAAGATGCATAATAGAATTTCTAGAATGGTATCACCCGCTTATCTACTCAAGAGTTTGAAATTATGTTGAGGGCAGTTTTTTGTTATGGTTCCCTCCTTTTTGTTTTTGTCTTGATGTACTGTATGTTTTTTTACATACTGTATGCTTTCAATGTCTTCAGTAGCTTGCAGCCATTATTTTTTTTTTCAATATTTATATGTTAGCTATTTACTATATTGTTTGCAGATTGATATTATTTATGTTGTGTGATACATTTAAATCATCTGGTTTTTTTTTTAATTTGGTGTTGGAATTTAATTTTAGTTGTTGTTTTGAATGCCTGTTGAAATATGGAAAGCTTGCTCCTACTATTTTCCTTCCTGTTTCCATTAGGATGCATCTAGATAAATTCTAAGCTCTGTCCACACTGGTAGATTTTCTGGTACAAATATTATTTGCCCAAATATGGGCATGATGGTGTCATAATTGGGGCATATTGCCGCAAAATGGCCAAGTTGTAGCAAAAATTGAAATTCAAGTTGTTGGTATTCAAGTTGTTGGTATTCAAGTTGTTGGTATCTTCAGATACCTGAGTATGTGATCTTTAAAATGGGTGGGGGGGTGATCTTTAAAATGAGTTGTCATTCATTCAAATTGGACATTTCAGGCCTAAGTTATTGGAAAGTAAAAGTACAGTTACTCTTAGAGTCAAGATAAACATGATTTTGAGTAATTGCCTTTCAAAGTAATTTGTGCATACATTGTTTAATAGAATGAACTGTGAAAAATAACGTTAAATAAACAATTTGTTAACTACTTCCAGAAATAATACTTTGGGACATGATTAGTAAGACATTAAACTGTTGATCTATAGTGAAAAACAAATTTGGATTTTTAGGTAATTTTTTGAGCTTCATATTTCATAGCTCATTTACTCAATACTGGACTGTGCGACAACTTAACCATTTTGCCACAACATGCCTCTATTAACAAGATATATCATATCCCTATATGGGCACAGTGTATGACAGAAAATCTGATAGTGCGGGCTAAGCTTAAGCAAGATATTGTAAAGTTGGGTGTTGTGTGGTAGATGAGAACTGAACGTTTTGCCATGCATGTTTAGTTTCTCTGTATGAGGGCGCCCTTATTCTGCACTTGGGAAGTAGGCTGCATATTTATCTATGTAGATTGAAAGCTTTGGATCCTTAAAGTAAATTAGGTTAGATATGCTAATGAATGTCAGTGATATAAACAATCATTTTTGAATAGGCAGTAGATAATGTTAGAAATAAAATATAACAAAATACATTATAACACATAGGTTATGAATTTATTTTTGTAATTAAATCAAAATTTTATATAATTTTATAATTTATTTACTTTTAATCTTATCCCTAGTATTATATTTACTTTTATTACAGTTTGTCTTGATTCAAAAATATTAAACCAAAGCACATTAAATTTATAGGTTTATTTTTACCTAAATGTAGATATCAGACGTAGCATTTTTTTTTTTTTTATTCCATTGTTTTTTCTTCTAACTTTTAGGGCAGATGCAGATTGATCATTCAACCAATGAGGATGAGGGCAATTATGAATGTTATGCACGTAATTCAGCAGGAACCTTGTTTTCAGAAGAAGCTACGTTATTCGTAAGAGGTAAGCCTGACCAGACTATTAAATTTGATTTGACAAAACATGTGACATGCCCATATATGGTCATGATGATATTGTATCATGACCATATATAGGCATGTCATGACTATATATATGCATACAACAGTTTTTTGCCAAAGAAAAGGACAGAGCTTTAGGGTAATCCACTTCTGTGTCTAAAAGAGATTGTAATAATAATGATAATAATAATAATAATTGTCATTAATATAGTGATGATAGGTTGTCACACAAGCCTGTAATACAGAGGGGGCTGAAATAAACCATAGCAACGGGGTAATCCCCTATTCTTCCGAAAGATGAAATTGGTCCACACGAGCCAGATGTTTTAAGTTCTTATTCAAGAAGACTTGTCTCTACCAACTGAACCATGGGTGAGGAGCGTTTAGAACCAGCGCCGATTGTTAGTGGCACCCCTGCCTTACTACTCAGCAATTCCACAAGATACTTACATTTTCATAATTTTGTAAAAGGATGAAATTTGCTCTTCTGAATTCCCATGTGAACGTGGGCTAACGCTTGAAAGATAACTGTTTAAACAAGGTGGACATTTTTTCGGAACGTTTCATTTTCATTGAATGTAATAGAGTTGGTATGACATTAACTATACATTTGATTTATCATTTTCTTTCTTTTCTTTTCAATTTATGAACAAAATAGAACGCCAGAATCCGCCTCGATTCTCCATTTATCCCGAGGACCAGGAAATTGCACCGGGCCAGGATGTTGAGTTAACATGCGTCGCTGTGGGCGCACCCATGCCAATGGTTCATTGGATGAAGGATAATGTAGATATAAACGACGAAACACAAGGAAGGAATGTACTGATGTTAAAGGATGTCCGTGTGTCTAGCAATTACACTTGCCGTGCTTCAAGTTCCCTAGGTGTCATATATGCTGTAGCCAGAGTTACTGTCAGAGGTAAAACGTACTAATATATTAATACGAATACTGTTGAATATTACTAGTGGTATTGAGCTGGTACACACTGTGCTAGCGATGTCGACTAACGTCATCCGCCGATTGTCAGTAATAGTTAGAATCATTACCATTTACAACTTTTCAACTTCCATTGAACTTTTTACACATGGTGTACCACAAGTCTAATTATTATTTTATTCTGTTTATTTTATTTATTTTTTGCTTCCAGCACCACCAAAAGCCCCTTCAGCTCCGGTCGCTAACCTTCCAGCACCTGCAGAATCGGTAACGCTTAACTGGACACCATCAAGCCAGGAGGCAGTGAGCTCCTACGTCCTTCTATATAAATTAGTTTCCTCTACTGGTCCTTACTCTGAAATCACAGACATAACTGGTACTACAACCACAGTGGAGAATTTACTGCCATTTACATCATATGAATTCATGATAAAAGGCGTAAATACGATTGGCATTGGTGAAGCAAGTCCACCAGTTACAGTGAAGACTGGAGAGTTAGGTAAGGGATTTATTTTTTTTATTTTCATTTAGAATCATTAATGCTATTTCAATGTCTTTGAAATAAAAGTCATTCAAAATTGACATGATGAATACAGAGTATAGTTATACCTTAAATTAAACAATAAAATTTACAAAAAATGAAATTACTGTAAATTTATTTACACACAAAAGACACATTGATGTTATGCATTGTTTCTGTTGTCCTTCTAGTCATTCAATAATAGAAACTTGTGATGATAATGAAGATTTAATGATTCAAACTGCATAAGATTTACTTTATTTCCAGATAATTGACTTCATTGATTTAGTTATCAAGTCTAGCTGAGATTTTATAGTTGAATTTGCAAAATTCTATTTGCAAGTACAAATTCATTATGTTCCTGATTGCAATTGATTTTGAATAGAGTAGACTCCAAACATTTATGAATAAGATTCATCTTTAAAAAAAAAAATAACCTGCTATTGATTCTTCATACACTTCCCTGTGTGCTATTAAATTACAAGGACAAGGTATCGGATGCTATTAATAATAATATTAATGGAATGTTGTATAGCGCCTATATACATCAACAATGCTTATGGCGTGGTTATTAAATCTGATCTCCGAATGCATAAACCATAATTTGCATTGTGCAACCTCTTCTGGTACCCAAGGAGATTTCTTAGTCATGCAGCTGAGGCAAGGTTTTTTTATACCTTCTTTCGCAAAAACACTGCCCGCTATTCTTGATTATCAAATAGTATTTAATTTTTGGCCAGTTGGCACACCTGGAACCGTAACAAGTTGGACGTAAGAGAATGGGTATAAAATGGGTGGAAACCACACATCAACATAACCAGATGTAGTGTATTACAATTTTTGGTTCTCATAAAAAGTATGCTAATTTAGAGCATCGTTCGCAATGATTTATGCTTTTCATGTGTGTTTGCAGGCACTGTAAACTGTGTTATATAAGTGTATAGCTACAGTATAGAATATTGTCATTTTCCTTACTTGAAGAAACTTTTATTTTCATTAACTATATTAAATTATTATTTAAATAAAATTATTATTATTTTTTTTTTTGTATTTACAGCTCCAGGATCACCTCCTATAAGGGTTAAAGTCAGCCTGATCAGTTCAAGTTCAATCCTCGTCCAGTGGGACGCTCCGGAAGTTCCCAATGGCCGCATCACTGGCTACAAGATTTACTACACCGCCAAGCCTTCCAGTGATTTGTCTGTATGGGAGACGTCCACTGTTGACGATATTCAACTTACATCCATTTCGCAGCTCACCCCGCTCAAGCTGTACTCTGTCAAGGTGGCTGCTAGAACTGAAATTGGTTATGGCCCTACTTCTCCTGTCATGAAGATTAAGGTTCAACAAGGGAGTAAGTATCCTAGAGTGGCTGTTATGAGGTTTTTTAAGGCAAAAATCACATTTTTTTTTCCTAATGAAAGCTAATATCTTTAATATAATGAGAAACCAATTAAAATATTAAAATGTTATCATTAAAGTTTATGAACTCCGTATATCTGTAATTTTATGTCCACATCCGAAAGACAGTGCGCTATCGTAACTTCTATTTCAGCTCTTCAGCTGAAACACGAGAGGCAGCGATGGGAATTAAACCGGGAACCTAGAGATCTCCACAGTTCAGCGCACACACAGTGGCTACCACCAGATTAGCCAACTGAGTTAAGCTGCTCTCTTGTTATGGCATTATTGTGCCCATTTATGGCGTGACATGACATTAACATGACAACCGATTGTGATATGACAGCATCATACCCTGTATATAATATTGGCAAATCACGCACACACTTCTCATGTTAATCTTGTCAGGCCATAATATTATTATCTTTTCTTTCCTTAGTCCCTAGTCAACCTATGAACTTTGAGGCGACTTCGATAAGTGAGAGCAAAATTCAGCTGACGTGGGAAGAACCAACGGACTACACTCAAGGTAGTAGGATTGTCATAAACTACGAGATCTTCTACAACTCGACCAGTAGGGGCGAGGAGCATACTACCATCTCTCCTGGGCAGGGACAATACATTTTGAGTAATTTGTCACCCTACACAGTATACAATATCCGTCTGGCTGCACGAAGTGACACAGGATTGGGGCCTAGCACCAGGGTTGTGTCAGTGAGGACACAGCAGGCCGGTAAGTTCATGTCATCCAATGTTAGATAATGACATAAAAGAATATTTAGTATTTAAGGAAAATAAGGTTTGAGAAATAACTGAATATTATTATTTTACCACTTACGTCATATTCCAGGCAAACTGATAAAAAAAATTTAAAAATCATTTATTAAGAACTTAAAATAAATAGTATATAAGTATATATGAAGATATAATATATATTTATATATCTAAGTAGATGTAATATAAATAATGTAACATAATAATGTACAGATATATGAAGTGGAGATGTTTCTTGGTGGTTGAGGTACTCAACTTACAATTCTGTGGTCCTGTGATTCCAGGTTTTTTTTTTAATTGTTATGGTAACAAACTCTTTTATAGATTCAATCCTATAAAATGTGTGTGCATGTATTGTTAGGAATGACTTCAATAGAAATAGAAATCGTAGCAAACAGCTTATGTTATAATGTACAGTACATAGTGCTTTATTAAGGCATAGAGGATTGTCAGTATAGCCATAATATATTTTGTCTTTTATAGCATATCTGTCCACCATTGGAAAATAAGGATTTTTTAGTGATGGACATCAAATTAACCACATAGACACCTATGGGCTAAACTGGCAGTTTCCCAAATCCCTTCTTATTATTATAGGGGATTCTTTAGCAAAATTCTGCAAAAGTCTTATGTTGCACCAGAAAAAACAATTTTTTTAAGGATTGGTTTTTTTTTTGTAGGGCTCATACTTCCCCACACCAAGTTTCTTAAACTTGATGCCTGTACTATCTAATACAGTGGTTGCCTTGGCCTTTGCATTAAAAATATTTTGCTATACTCATCTTACTTATGCTAGTATGATAGATATTTATATAACTTCTAGATATTAACATTATTTGCATCTACAGGTATGACCAACTGGAGCTAGATGGTTTTGATATTTATAACTTAATATGTTTTATTTCATTCAGGTATAAACAACATGCTAACTATAGCCAGTGTCAACAATTATTAAATTAACAATTGCTGAAATATAGGATTAAATTATAGTTACACATTGTACAAACATAGTAGAAAATTAGACTTAGTACAACTAAAATTTAGGTAACAACCCTATCAAAGCTTAATGATAAGCTACTGTCAGAATCAACCAATATAATCTCTGGTTGCTCACAATCTGTCACATGATTTAGACAAAAATATAACCACTGTCTGTAAAATATGATCCTGTTTTATTTCTATAGATCACAACATGAAACAATATATCTTTTATTTCTGATTTTAACTTTATATTTGGTTTGGATTATGTTAATTTTTTCGGCGTTACAAAATCTAATACAATATAACCTAAACCAAAATGAAAATACATGTGATAGATCAGGTATGATTTTTGCACAGTTAATAGACTACTGCCTAACTGTAACTTTTCAGTATTAGTCACATTATTCTGCAAGACATAAAGGAACCATGAATAAATCAGTAGAGCTATATTGGTTCGCTCCAAGCAAAGAATTTTGGGATTTTTTAAGGCAATTTCACTGTCCAAGCTTCGGGAAAGACAATTGATCATTGATCATCAAGGATCCTGAATGACCAACTTTTCTGGATGATCCACTCAGAGAGAAAAAACAAAATATCAATGCTTAGTTGATAAAAAAAAAGTGAATATAGAATTATAGACTACAATATCAAAAAACATATACTGAAATGTTGGTGGTTTTCATGTGTAGGCAGTAGTCATATAAGCTTATCGTTAATGCTGAGATTCTAACTACTGGCCTCTTAACGCCTGGACGTTTTATGGGTGGTGTGATATAACGGATGTGACAACAGTTGATGCCTGCGTTTGCTTGCATTGTGGGATAAGCCTGAGGTTTTTGCTAGTGAAAATGTATACATAAATTTAATAATTTAAAGAAACCTAGTAATTTTCTTTTGTGTGAACAAGAAAATCATTTTTATGGTTTTGCTTGTGAACATAAAAATCACAACTTTCTGATGGTACTTTGTGAGTATTATTACTAATTTGGGATAGATGCATCAAAGAATCAAGAAAAAATCTAATTGAAAAAAGTTATTAAAATTTATGTATACATATTAACTGGAGTCTCTTGACCTCATTTTGTGCGTTGTTCACACTTCACCTGAAAAAAAAATGGCCTTTAAAATTTGACCTTTAAATTGCTAATTATGAATTTCATATAGATATTTTGAGGTTTGTAAACCTCTTCTAATTATAAGATTCATCTGGTTAAAAAGATCTAAATACACATAGTTTGACGGTGAACTTTGAACACAGAAAAGAATAATCACGCATATGCCTTGTGCATTGCGTCACTTTTCCACATACTGCAATCCTGGCCGTAGCACGACACATTTTAAGTTCCGACAAAATGACTGAAGTAGATTCTGCAATTAAAAGAAGACATATCAAAGCTCTGGAATAGTTCACTTGCTTTCACAGAGAAAATCAAATTTTATACTGCTGCAAAATCAATTCAATCTGTAATTTAGTTTAATTTCATTTAATGAGAGACGTTTAATATTTAACAGCATCTTTGAAAGATACGCTACATTTCTTGCCTGATTACAACAGTTCCTATCGTGAAGGATGATTAAACCCGAACAATAAACATATTTTGTTCCACAAAAAAAAGCTTTATTGTGCTCTTCTTTTAATTGCAATCAAATTTGAATGTGTATGAGAAGGGATCAGAGTTTCTTGTTAATATCTGCATGATTAATTTTGATAATGATAATGTTACTAACGTGACATCAACTTTGTAGTGAAGAATGTTAGCTTTTCACATCACTGATGGAATCCAATGAACTAACCCGAATTACTTTTGTCATGTATGTATTTATATATTTATATATATATTTATTATTATTATATTACATGTTAAATGTATAAAGCATGTTCTAATGCTAATCTGTGAAATTTTCTTTATTCCATCCCTTTATATTTGAATATATTTTTTCCCCACTATTTTTTTTTTTTTTTATCTCATCCTTTGTACATTCCTGCATCTGGTTATACGCATGTTGAATTGTCTTGATATTCTTGTTGATGTTGTTTTGCACCCGTAGTCCCCGGCGAACCCCCCAGAGACGTCCAAGCTTTAGCAGTCAGTGCAACTGAGATCAGAGTCACGTGGAATCCACCCTCAGCCAGCTTGCAAAACGGCGTGATCACAGGCTACACGTTGAGTTATCGCAAGGCAGAGGGTGTCGGCGAAACAAAGAAGTCGGTCCGTTTGAACAACACCTCACGTAGCCATAACTTGACTGGCCTAGGGAAATGGACATCCTACGAAATTTCTCTTTCGGCCCGTACCATTATAGGTAACGGGCCGGAAACAGATCCGGCGATTCGCGTTCGCACCATGGAAGCCGGTATGTAACCCCATGTGTCTAACTCGACCTTTAACCTTTTACCTTTTGCCTATTATTTGTGACATGCTTCAATCTCTCCACCAATGACAAGTGAGTTGTATCGTTATATTTCATCAGAATGTTGTTTATATAAGTATATAACAATTTAATAATTAAAAATGACCGGATATGTTTTAATTGTTAACATAACTACTGCAAGTATATCCAATATATACTACTTATATTGTTACATGTATTAATGAATATCTGATGCACTAATTTATATTTCTTATCTGCATCCAAGTCTTGTTATACATTCAATGTTTCATCCCTTGGCATGCTTTTATTATTTTTCTGACATGAATTAAAATCATTTTTTTTTTGTTACTAAGAATTAGTTGCACATGTAAGATTAGAAAATAATTAACAAACTCTGATATTTTATTCAAGATAAATAATAATCTAAGGTCTACTTTGGATAATGATTATAGCAAATTAAGGTGTAAATTATTTCCAATTTGTTATTCTACTGGGAATAGAGGATGTTACACATTTATGCACAATTATTAATACACATCCAAAAATTAAGTTAGCACATAAGCATTTTGGTATTGCAATACTGTATAATATAATAATAGTAATAATTATATTGTTACAAATAAGTAATAATAAAATAATTATTAATATATGAATAGCATATCAAAAAATCCTTAATTTCTTTCATTTAATAGAACAATTTGGATCAAATGTATGTCATTCTGTTATACATGAACAACCACAAGCCTGTTAGTGATTATACTTAAATATTAATAGAGCATTTGCATACTATAGTTTTTTCAATTTTAATCAAATATACACCTGATAGTCACATAATATTAAATTACAAATGATAGAACATAAATAATTAATTAGATGTCTCATATATTAATTATGAGGAAAGGCTAAGTTGATTAGAGGAAAACATCTAAAAATAATTATAGTTCCACTAGGTCTACTTAATAATACGTATCCCTTTGCATGTTATTATATTTAAAATTACTTCAATATGTGTTATTGATAGGAGATAGTGTAATAGGTAAATCTGAATTCTAGGCACTTTTCCATTTAATTGTATTCCCATTCCCTCACCAATTTTTGCACTGAATCTAACAAGCTATGCTTGTTCCTTTTGATACCACATGCTTTCAATTCAAAGGGCATGAATGATATGGCATGATTGACTGTTAATTTTGTACTCGTATGCGAGAGTTTGCGTGCGAGCATGGAATTTATAAGAAGTTGTGGTACGTGCTGTGGCACATAAGTCCAAATGCGACATGCATGTAAAAATCTTCCGCATGCTAAGTCAGGTCTGAGGATCCAGCGTGTTTGGCCAGCTGTCTTTTCCATAGGGCATTTCCTTCTTATCATCTTAGTTGAGAGATGTTTCCCTTGCGTTCGTTACCCATTCACTCCTGAACGTTTAAGTTTGACTATTATTTTCTATATCATAGACATCAGTTAGTTATTTATTATGCCCATGTTTCATTATAAAGGATTTACTAATTAATATTCACTGATTCATTTGGATACAGATTAATGAGCTGGAAATAATCAGGATTTAAAAGTTTTAATTAGTTTAATTAGATACAATATATTTTATTTAGCATAAAAATTTGTAAAAAATAATCAAGTGTATAAAGAGTTGTATAAAATGATAAAAGTTGCATGTCAGAATTTTGTCCACACTTTAAGCCTTGTTATAAGACTTATTTAAAGGTCATCCAATTTTTTAAGAGGATCCTGAATAATATACCTTTTGCTTAAGATCAGTTACCCTCTGTAAAATGGTTCTAATATATAAAGTAGAAAAAAGTACCATTGCTGAATTTTCTGTCAAAACTCCTTCACACAGTTCCCGGTGCTCCTCGTAAAGTCACTGTTGAAGCCTTGAACTCGACAGCAATCCGCGTTTCCTGGGGCCCACCGAGAGAGGAAGAGATGAACGGTGTAATTCACGGATACCAGATACATTACTACCAAATGGACGAGAATACCAATGAACGTGTTTATGATTACTCTAAAGACTTTATGTATCCGGAACGAACAGTGAGTTTTAAAATTTTACACAATTGGCATAAATGTCACAAATAATAATTTTATTATTATCAATATTATCAATAATGCCTATTAATTTATACAATCATAATACGAGGCTAATAATAATATTAAGACAGTTATTAATAATGCACCAATATTACTAAACCAAATTAATAATCAAAGACATTGTGCATGCTGTTTGTTGTTTTAAAAGGGCGCAGGATTTGAAAAACTTTAAATTCCCGCAGTTTAAATATTACAGTCACAATTATATTATCAACATACACCTTAAATTATAATTATCCTGTGGATTAACATTGAAATTAAAACTCGCTTTAAAAAATATTTTGAAGGGATATTTTTATTTAATGCATGTTATAAGTACTAATATTTTGCAGGTTAATAAATAGTGGTTACAAACAATCTCTAAATTTGTATAATTTTGTCAAAACAATTAACAAACATTTAATAGATTAGAAATAACTGGCCAAACTTTGTTGGCAAAATAATATAATTTTTTTTGTTCTTATTGTTTTTTGTTGTATGTTTCTTTGTTTCGTATCCATACCTCCATAATTGCCCCAAAGTAAAATAAATGGAATTGATTTATCTAATATCAATAATTACAAGACCAAGATAACATGCATCTTCTTTTATAATACCACTTAGAGCAACTCAAATGCTCATGTCCACGTTTGTATGTGATACTAAATGTGTATATGTTGGATTGTACCATTTAACATCATGATTATTCATAAGTCTGTTACTGAGATATATGAATATTCATTGAAGACTAACCAATCATCTTCATGGGCTGATTCATTACTCCTGAAATAATTATAATATGATATATGCATGACTGAACATTCATGACCTCATTGATGCCTTGATTATTGTCAGACTGATGACTATTCATGGCCTGATTACCATATTCATGACTTTATTAATATTCATGACTACTGATCATATTTTTAACTCATCATATATTGACACATGTTGAGGCGATGCCCATTTGTTTATTGATTAATCAATCAACAATTGTCTTCTTTGTCATTTCATACGATGTTGCATTAGTTCTCATTGTGGCATTTCTTCACATTTGAAAATATGTATACCAAAATTTGAAACCAACTGAAAGTATCTAAAAAATATAAACATACCAATTGTATTGTATATAGAAAATGGATGCTTTATTTCAAAGTGAATGTAGTAAAGCACTTTCTCGGAAATGTGAAGAAAAAATATATTTATTAATGTATTTTTTCTGTTAAATCCCACAATTTCTGATTAATTTGAATTTTTTTTAAATGGGTTATTAAAATTGTTTATCAAATGTGGAGAATTGCTGTTGATCGCTTTTGTTTGACATAACTTGTTTCATCCAGTTTTGTTTTTATTCTTTTAAAAAAGTTTTAACTTCTGCTCCCAATCTTGCCTTCATTCTGCCAACCATTTCAGTTGCCTCTCTCCCAATGTTATACCCCACACCCATACCATTGTTACGTTCTCCCTTAATTGATACTCTTTGTTTTCCCCCTAACCATCTCGTCCCATCCTGTTTCTCCCGTCCTATATTCCATGATATTCCCACATAATTACCTTCCCTGATCAATTGTATCATTTTGCATGAATCGTTGTGTACTTATTACCCGTTTACTTTTTCCTCTCAACTGAACAATACCAAACTTGTTGAAATCCAAAGTAACAATCCGATTTATCTCAAGGTATATTTCATTGACAGGTAGTATTTTTATATATGATAGCAACCGGTGTCTTGTCAAAATGGCTTCTTTTTATTTTTTGAACTATATATTTGTACACAATATACTCACCACTGCTAAGATAGAACTTCCTCCACAATCTGTACTGTCCTCTGTATGCCTGCTCTCTCCAATCTTAGATTGGTGTAAATGTTTGTTCTTACTAAAAGGAAACATGGATTTGGTAATGATTAAATAAGACTTTTAAAATAATAAATTAATGGAGAGAATTATTTGGTTATTTGTTTAACAGTGCATGCACCACATGTCACTTGTGCTAGTTGACTTAATTTGAATGCTTGAGCAAAGATCTACCAGCCTAGATTTAAGCTTATGGGTTCCTTTGCACTAAACATTCACTTTTTTAGGTAACAGTATTAGGTTGTTCAGGTCACAGACCTTAAAGGGGACCCTTTAAAAAGCAGTATTAAAAATGTTGAAGTACTATATTTCAAGCATGGGATAATGAATAATTGCGAAGGCAGTACATTATTGATTTGTACCATTTTCCACATTAACTATTCATTGTAAATGACAGATTGAATATGAAAGTTATAATTGAGGAACTTGAAACATCATTTTTTTGGCATGTTTTTTTTAGTACAGTATATCGTAGAGCAATTATTCAACTTGAAATATTAGCAGATGCTGGTAATATAATACGATAGTGGATATAAGCGATGCAGGAGGATTTTAATTATATTAGTTGATTATAATCAATGAATGATTTTAAAATATAGTTAGATCTTTCAGAGATGATTAAATAATGGTAAGTTTTGATATCGTAATTTAATAGTAAAATAATTAAGAAAAATTTTTATAAAAGATATTAAATTGTTCAGATATTCATCTTCCAACTATAGCGACTAACTACATTTATCATCCCAATTCCCAGCTTATGTTAGTACTAACATTTCGATTGCATCATTTCCTCTCACATTTAACCTTTAACCTCCTTGCCTACAATGTCAAGTATTGTTCTTGTTCTAACCTCCTGAGAGTCTTCAGTGTAATGTATGTTTGTATATCGTCTCCAATTTTAGTTAAAAGTTCAGATAATACACCCATTTGTCTTGTTCGATGTTAGTTGTTCGAGAGGTATTCATGTTGTACGTAACAATACATTAATGTTTTGTCTTCTCAAAAGTGTAATATTATTTTTTTTGGTGTGTATCGGAAGATTCCTTCCAGTTAGTCTCACAAACTAGTGAATATGTGTTGAATAGCTTTTACAAGCTTTAAGGACAATATTGCCCTATCTAATCTTCTAACATAATGTAAAGCTAATGCTACAGTTTAGTTATAATATACAATACTATAATATATAACTAGTCAAATCTAATATATTATATTATATGTGTGGACCTATGTTGTATTATATTTACACTTCTACGTCTTGATGTTATTCTGTATTGTATTTTGTGTATATATATACAGTATTTACATTTATATGTGTATGTGTATATATACAATATATATATATATATTATATATCATTTATTCATATATATCATTATTATTTTTGTACTAAATACTTATTATAATTATTTCAATATAATATAAAGGAAAGGTCATTTTTTTAATTAAAAATATTAATATTTATTAGGATAGTCTTTTTTAAGACATGTATGGAGCAGATTTTTTTTATAGAAAAAAAAGTTTATTTGAATTCTCATTTTTTTTTGAGTAGTTATCAAAGCCCCATGCTTAATATATATTCATCAAATTGAAAATACTAATCTGCAATTTCAATAATGGTGTATGATGGAGCACCTGTGAATATAGTTAAAATTATATATTAATTTATTTTATTATTTCGGAGAAAAAAATCAAGATTTGTTTCAAAATTAAATTTAGCACATATACATTTTCATATCCTTTTATGTCTTTGATAACATTTTCTTTAGTGTGTGCATAGCAGCAGTAGGATTTATCGGTGTATTTTAACTTTTATTATGTTAATAATTAGAGTATTTTTATAATTTGAAACTTTTTTTAGATAAATTTGAAATGTTCAACCAAAAAATCAAATGAAAATAGAGGATTTTCTTGTGTGCCTGCTATTAGAGTAAAGAGTGATTTTTTTAAAAAGAAATTATGTTTATTATCAGTTAATAATTAAGGTAAAATTGCAAATTATGAATTATTATTAAATACTTAATTGTTTATACACTCATTTATTTATTCAGTTATTCATTTAATTAAATCATTAGTTTATTATCTATTTATCTATTGCATCATCATGCAATAATTAATTTATTCATTCATACTAAGATTATTGATCAAAAACTACATCGGTAGTCTTAATGGGAGCCTGATCTACAATCAGAACCTTAAGTATAAACACAATAAATTAAATATATTATTATACAGTATATCAAATAAAAAAAAGAAAAGATTCTTCATTAGTGGTTGGATACAAAACAGAATTTAGATTGTGGTAAACAATGTCTCGTGTATGTTGTTACATACTAGCATGCTATTTTAAGTCTGACAGTAATTCACTGGTGTTCACTTTATATGAGTTACTTTCAGTTATTAATCGGTAAGTTCAAAGTAATAATTTATGTAACAATGAGTGATTTAGTGCATTTTTATGATGATATCTACCATACCAATTATATTTTTTGAAGGAAGTGCGTGAAGCATTAGATACAGGATTGTAAAAAACATTGAGATAACGAATCGCTTAGAATTTTTTAATGCTGCAGAATTGTAAAGACAATTAAGGACCAGAATTCTAATCTATGTAAATTCAATAATGTTGTCTCTTACCCAGCATGCCATCTTCCAGGTTTAATTACCCTAAATTAATCGACAAATTGATTCAACATTATGCATATATATTGGCACTTTAATTATTTTTCACTAGTGAATATCCGATGCAAATTCTGAAATCGGAGCTTGGATCTTTATTACTATTACGATCAAATGCACTTCAAATTCCATTCTGTTTGCATTCTGGTGGGTCTCTGCTTCTTTTTCTCGCTGCATACTTTCAGCTTGAAAGTTAACCAGGGACACATAGCTTTTTTATATAAGGTTATTTAAAGGAATTATTTAATATGTTTAGCTTTTTTGGTATTTTAATGGTTTTAAGCTTATATTATACCTATTGTAAGGCCAAATTTATTTATTAAAAAAATGTTTCTTGTCCTTTCCTAAGCTTGTTTCCTTTTACATTCAAATGAGCACACATGAAGTCTTGTAGAAATCAAATATTCTCCTAAGTAAAGAGAATTCATGTAGGCCTAGGCATTGCCAAGTCCTAAGTGTGTGGCTGTGTGTTTCTGTGTTTAGGAAATGTGGGATTGAAGAGGGATTGGAAATTGTCTACCTCTGTGAATATAAAACTTAAGCAAGAAACATTTTTTTATTTGGCCTAACGCTATAACTAAAGCGATGACTGAATATATTTAGGCTTGCATCTGTACTCACAATCACATTTACACATTTGTAATGGGAGTATGTGGTTACTTTTTAAAACTGATTTTTAATTCTTATTTTTCTTTTTTATTTTCTTATATATTACTTAACCTATGTTAACACACTGTATTAATTTTTTTTATCAATTCGTCTTGTGGATCATACATGGCAATCCAAATAATAGAATTTCACTCACTAATTTATATACAATATGAATTTTTTATATATATATATAAATGGTCGATAACCACTGTATTTTATTTCTATAACACAGTTGTTGTTTTATTTGTTTATAATGTACTGGTATTTTAACTTGTTTTTGTTATATGTATGTCAAGTTATACATATATTTTAGGATAAGTTGACTGATTTGGCATTATTTCAAAGTTATCCCATA